GGCATGGCTGCCTCTTCACCAAAGTTCAAGTCAAAACGACGGTCGGATGGGCCAGACATTATCAGAAATGATGAAGGATAAATGAGGTGCAATAAATCTCTGAAGTAAGGGGAAAATTCCTACAAGCAATAACTCTCTGAATGTACTTCTTGCACACAATTGGTGCCCTTATAAAAGAAAGGGCAACAGGGCCGTTGGTTCAAAAATCGAAGAGGCACCACTCTTCGGATTCCGAAGAGGCACCACTTTCCACACGCAACATCAATTCATCGAGTACCACAGATAACTTTGCCAAAGATCTCTGACAAAGTTTAGACATATAAAATTTGAAGGTCCAGCTACCCTACTATTACCCACAAGGGTAAAGGAACAACACCACTGCTTGATAACTAGAAAGTCCTAATGTGTGTCAACCTCCGTGCTCCGTGGCAAGGCAGACTGGCAAAAATGCCCAACCTTTACTCACATTCGAGAAAACACTCCCAACAAGATTGCTTGCTCAAAAATCGAAGAGGCACCGCCCTCCGAATCTCGAGAGCCAGACTCCCAACAAGATTACTTTCTCAAAAATCGAAGAGACACTGCTCTCCGAATCTCAAGAGTTAGACTCCCAACATGATTGCTTTCTCAAAAATTGAAAAAGCACCATTCTCCGAATCTCGAGAGCCAGACTCCCAACATGATTACATGCTCAAAAATCGAAGAATTACCACCTCCGAATCTCGAGAGCCAGACTCCCAACAAGATTACTTTCTAAAAAATCAAAGAGACACTGCTCTCCGAATCTCAAGAGTCAGACTCCCAATAAGATTGTTTTCTCAAAAATCGAAGAGGCACTGTTCTCTAAATCTCAGGAGCCAGATCCCCGACAAGATTACTTATTCGAAAACCGAAGAGGCACCGTTCTTCGAACTTCGAGAGCCAGATTTCCTCGGATAAAGCTTGTCTGCAATCTTCACACGCAACATCAGCTTTCCAGATACCACATACCACTTTTTCAAAATGCTCTGACAAAGTTCAAACACGTGAAGCTTGCAGCTCCCACTCCATTACTATGACCAAGAAGGGTAAAGGAATAACACTACTACTTGTTGTTAGGGATACTCCTATATATGTCGACTTTCATCCTCCACAGCCAGACATATCTGCAAATAAAAAAAAATGCTTAACTTTTCTTCACATCCGAGAGAGCACTCTCAGCAGAGTCTCTTGAAATACTCAGCTTCTTTTCATCCCGATAATACCTCTGCAAACAAGCCACACTAGAGCAAGAGTATCTCATATCATCAAGGTTAAAAGCAAGAGTATCCCATATCATGCTTTTTCCATGTCTTTTCCTTTGGCCTTGTTCTTACCTGCAAGATAAGGAGAAAGAGAGCAATCAGTCAACACTTGGAATCAAGCTTCCAGTTAGGAATTGACTGCCTGGAACCCCTTGCCTGATTACTTGCCTGGCATTGCTCTCGAGTACTCATCTTCAACATCTTATGCTTTCAGAGAAGATACCACATCTGCCTAAGGAACAGATAGGGCAAGTGAGAAGAATACAAGGAAGTATGTAGAGACAAGCGTAACAGAACACGTGCCGATACATCCACTACTTTGTCAACAACAAAAGTATCCCATATCGTCAGGGGCGAATGTACTCTAAATTTGATGGACTTGTTTTGACCCTCAAATTCTTGAGTCGGCCTTATACTCTGGAAGAAACCAGAAAACCCTCTAGCCCAGTTCAAGAATAAGCCTGTGGAAAGTTACTTCTTCAAAAGCAAAAGTATCTCATATCATCTCTTCTCCATTTGCTTCTCCTTATCCTTGTTGCTGTTTACGACACAAGGAGAAGGAGAACAATCAACCGGAAGCCGAAGTCGAACCTCCGATCCAGGTTGCTTGCTTGGAAGTCTGATTGCTTACCTTGTTTGTTACCTCATTCGACAAATCTCCTAACTCGGCGACTTGGGGGACTCCTACTATAGGGTTTGTATCACACTTGACCAAGCACGAAACTACAAGTAAGCTTCAAGTGAAATTGATACATTACCTTGTGCATCTTCATCGGTTAAAGATACCACCCCTGGATGGAGGAAAAGTACTTCCAGAGAAGATGCCACATCTACATATGAGAAAAATAAGGCAAGTGAAAATGATACCACACTTCGATACTTAGAAGTTTCATGATTACTCAATAGCTTGGATCTTGCAAGTCCCCAACCGAGGAGCTTCCCTCACTCGGGAACTTAGGGGAACACTGTTTGTACCATACTTGACCAATCCTGAAACTACTGAGCACCGGTCAACATTACCGTCAAGGACCCAGAAGAGTTTCCCTCCAACCAGAAGGCCAATCACAGCGCGACACGTGTCGACATCAGAAGCTAATCATAGCGCGACACGTGTCAACATCAGATGCCAATCACAAGACGACACGTGTCAATGTTAGAATGAAACTAGAAACTCTCTTCTATAAATAGAGATCATTATCTCACAATATTTCCTAATGTCATTTGTACTAAATCATTCACTAGTACTCACTAAAGGAGAGCTTGAACCTATGTACTTGTGTAAACCCTTCACAATTAATGAGAACTCATCTACTCCGTGGACGTAGTCAATCTGGGTGAACCACGTACATCTTGTGTTTGCTTCCCTGTCCCCATCCATTTACTTACTTATCCACACTAGTGACCGGAGCAATCTAGCGAAGGTCACAAACTTAACACTTTCTGTTGTATCAAAGTTCTCGCTGATTTTGTACATCAACAAAAACAATTCAGCTCTTAAGGCATTTAGCAAATTCTATTTTTGTTAAATATCATTTGCTAATTTAAGTGGCAATTTTATTATTACTTAAAAGTTTGCTAATAGTTAAAATACATTGTGGGCAAACAAGTGCATGTTTAAATAGATGTGTGAAAAAAAGAGTCACTATTTTTTGCTCACCACCATCAAGTGATGGTGATGCTTGATGGTGATGTAAGTTATCCTATTTATCAGTGAGAGATGAGTTTAAATTTCGAAATCTGTGTAATAGATAAACAAAAATCTCAAAATTTCAATTCATTCAACGGTGATAAATAGAGTAGTAATCATTACCATCTCGTAAGAACTTAATTTTAATTTTTTTTTTATCTGTTACTACCTTTGAAGACGATTATATTCTATCTGGCATAGCAAATCTTATGTGCTACTCCTTTTCCTTTGGTACCTTCAATACATTGAAAAGCTTCGTCTTGACATTAGGAGAAGTAGGGGTAGGCACTTAGAGCATGAAATCGAAATTGAAATACGAATCAAATCAGACCGCATCTAAAGGTTCAGTTTTTGTGGTTTTCAAACATTGTTGGTTTGAAATTGAGATGCAGTGTAGGAAAGCGGTTTGGTTTCGGGTTTAGCCTTCTGAAACCGCACAAAAACCGAACAGCACTGCAAAAATTAAAAGACATTTAATTAAATACCCATATTAGACGTTGTCTTCTAATTGGTTGTGGATGTGAATTTTTTATGACAAACTGTATAAAATGCTAACTGTTAGCTGTTTGCATGCTAATATTAGCAACTTCATATTTTATTCTTGAAGCTTCAGTTTTTTAGGGAGTGTTTTTGCTCACTGCTATAAATTATGTTGTTTATTTACTGTACGCCTAATCATTTATTACGTGTCATTCACTTAACTTTAGTTAATTTTATTTCAAAATTAAAAATGTAACATTTAATATAAAAATTAATTAGAATTAATACAAAAACACGTCGCAAGTGGTTATGTATATAATAAGTATACACTATATTTATGATGGTAATAAAAGTATGCTCCTAATTTTTTGTTGTGATTGTCTTTTTTTTTTTACATGAGCAATGTGGTAGAAGATTTATATTTTATAGGAGACAGTGCCATGTTATTCAGTTTTATCGAGGTTCATATAAGACAGAACTGCAAATCCTGCAATTTATGTTCAGATGCTAGACTAATGAAAAAGTCTTAAAACTTCGTATTTTAATAAAAATTATTTATTAACTTTATTTAATGATAAGAACAAACATATTTTAAATAAATAAAAAAAACAACTTGTTGGGCCCTTTCATAAAATAAACTTAGCTCAAACCCTTTTCTTGAAACCTTCAATTTTTTTTTTCAAATAATTTGAAACAAAATGATATGTCCCCCATAAAATATAAACACGTTAATCAACACTTAAGTAACAATTCAATCATCAGTAGCCACATCATTTGGTTTTAAAATTGTGTATTACAAGAGAGACTAAATTTATAAACAAAATTTTGTAAACTAAGTGATATGAAAGTTGATTATCGGGTTATTATTATTTTTTTTTGAACAAAATACGATATTCATTAAGCAATAAGAATTCGTACAAACTAAGGATAGTGTGCATAATGGGCCTCGATAAAAACCTTGCCGGGGGTTTCAACCCAGTCGAAGGAAAAGAGTGTCCTGCACAAACAGAAAACCTATCCTCAAATGAACAATGAAACTTACAATCCTTCCTCAAACAGAATGTCATGAATTAAATCCAGAGATTCCTCGAACCACACAATCTCCTGGGTACAATTAAGCCCTAATCGAGCAAGCCGATGAGCCGCCGAATTTCCTTCCCGATGCACATGACTAACCACCAATCTCATCATGTCCAAACAGAAATACCTCAGGTCGTTAATAATGGGTCCAAATTAGACCTGTCCTCGCCTTGACCGGTCATGGCGTTCATTATCGGGTTATTACTTAAATGTTAATAAACATGTTCAATCCTATTGGTAACAAAATATTTAGTTTGCAAATTTTATCTGCAAATTTAATTTTTCTAATATTACTCTTTAAAATTTGATCCCTAGCATTCTTGTTTACAAATTTAATTTAAAATTTTTGCTTTCACCGTTATTGTATAAGTAATTGTTGGGTGAGAGAACAGGTTGCATAAAAAACGCGGTAAAATATAATATATCATGACATGAGCGAGCGAAAGGTGGTCTCAACTATGAGTTGTAGGTTGACTTGTCTCTTCTCAGGTCATCATTCTTATATTTTCTTCTTCCATAACTCTTCAATCGAAATCGAAATCCAGTGTGTGTTCTTCTAGGGTGATTACTGACGACACAGACATAATGGGGATTCTCGAGAAGGTGAAAAGGAGGGCCAAAGTAGAATATGTTGACATAAACTTAAAGAGTCAGCATGACAGCAGCAATGGCCCTGATGAAGAACTTGATATCATTGATGGGATTCCTTGCTTGCCTAAGCAGCTGGCTGTTCCCAAGGTATATCACAACCTTCACACACACATACATACATACATACATACATATATATATATATATATATATATATATTATAATCATGGCTAATTATTTCTCCTGTACAACTGCTCTTATCATCTTGAATTTCAAACTTGGTTTCTTTCTGTTCCTATGTTATTCAGAATCTCATATTTAGGGTACGAATGGTACTGCTTTGATGTTGAATAGACATGTTAAATTGTATTTTGTTTTTGTTTTCGGTTATAGATATCGGAAATGAGCTCACTGCTGGGCAGGGCTAGTACATCTGGCCTTGGGAGGGCAGTGGATGCAATCTATGGCCTTGGTAGTAGCATGGCAATTCTGAACACAAACACTGGTTTTACCTCTGCGGCGACAACAAAAGGGACTAAAATTTCACTCTTGACTTTCGAAGTTGCAAACACAACTGTCAAGGGATCAAATTTAATGCAATCATTGTCAACGTATAACATTAAACATTTAAAAGAGGTTGTGCTTCCATCAGAAGGGGTCCAGAATTTAGTTTCACGAAATATGGATGAACTCCTGAGAATTGTTGCAGCTGACAAGAGGTTGATAACTGAAAATTCCTAGTATAATTTTCTGGACAATCAGAACAAGCTATAACTATTTTTTTTCAATTAACATGTGGTGTTTATTTATTGAATAATTGTATATGAAGTCGGAGATTAATAATGTTCTGGTACAATTCTGGCAGGGAAGAGCTCAAAATTCTCTCCGGAGAAGTAGCGCGGTTTGGAAATTGTTGTAAAGACCCTCAGTGGCATAATCTGGATCGCTATCTTAACCAGTGCCCTTTCACAAACATTATGGTTGCACGACAGAAGCTATTGAAGGAAGATGCAGAGGTGGTAATGCAGCAAATGATGATGTTGGTTTCAAATACACATGTAAGTAAACGTATAGAGAATGCAGCCTTTAGTTGCAGTTGTATGATCCATTTGTGACTTGCCTTCGAATGAGATCAGGGATTGTTCTCGTTCTTCTATAATGATGGATGCGTGTTGGCACTGCATTGGTAAAATGAATCTGAGTTCAGATTTGTTGAATATATCATTCCAGCTCAGCAATAGTTAGTTAGGTTGTTATCAAATTAGTTAGTTAAATAGCTTAGGCTGCAAGCTAGTCATGATGGCTATATAAATTGTATTCTCATAGTTGTAAAGATCAATTGAGTATCAATGTAATCCATGACTTTCTCTCTCTCTCTCTCTCTTATTCCCTTTTCTCTCTTCTTCTTCAATACATGCTCTGTCTGCAACTCTTTATTTCTGTTAACATGGTATCATCGCCGGAGGTCTTTCCTTGGTGATCTCTCGTTTTTCCGCTGCAACATTGTGTCGTTGGAGGTGTTCTTTACAGTTTGGGTTTTCTACAACGTTGCTCTGTTTCTGTGGGACGATTTGCTGTTCTTGGTGCTCGAATCTAGGTATTTCAACAGGGAAAAGATCTGTGCACTTCAGCTGTTTGGTGGGTTGTCTCTGGATGAAGAATGGGTGTTTTTGGAGAAATCAACTCGGTGCACTCCAAGTGTTTGATGAATTGTGTCAGCCAATTGCTGGAGTGTTGAATCTTGAAGTCTTTCTGCTGTATCATCCTTGTTAAAGGCCAATTGCCACAGAAGGTTTGGACGATTCGAAGGGACGATTTTTTTCGCTGGTGGTTATTGGCGAGATCTTTCATTGATGGTTCTTGGTGCTTTCGTTTCTGGGTGTTGCGTGACGATATTGCAGGGAGTTCAAAGGGACGATCTTTGGTAATTTCTTCAGTCAGGTATTTCTTGCGAGATGTTCTCTAGAGTCAAAATTGTACAATGCTATCTGGGTTCTCTGGTTCAAGTTTCATGGTGTTTTCTGTGTATGGTTGAAGTTCTTGCACTCTATGTGTTTGTGTAAATGTCAGTTTCATGCGTATATGATCAATACAAGGTCGAAGCCGTTATTGATAAATTGATAGAATTGTGAAGTTGTTTGTGATATCCACTTGTTAAAGGCCGATGCCAAAGTGTGATTGAATTGATAGTAGTTCTTGCTTGTTTGAGATTTGTGCACTTGAAAAAGGCCGATTGCCAAGAGTGTGCTGAATTTAATGTGTTTCCTCCACAAGGCCGATAGCCGGAGTGAAAAGTTTTGTCTCAGATATTGTGTGTTACTCCTTAAAGGTCGATAGCCGGAGTAACGTTCTTGAAAAGTCTTGTTTGTTGTTATTGTGTGCAACTCCATTAAGGCTGATTGCCGGAGTGCATCTCTCAGTGAAGATTTTTCTGTGTATCTTGTAAGTATCAAGGCCGATAGCCGTATACTTACTTTTTCAAGGCCGATAGCCAGAAAGTGTTTGAAGGGTTCTTGCAAAGATTCAATGTGTGTAGTGATTAGTTTGTGTAGCGACTAGTGTCAAGATTGAAGGGTTGTTGGGAATATTGACTGTAAAACTTCAGGATGATAATTTTGTGGATAACACACCACTGAACAGTCAAGAATCATGAGGAAGTTTTAGGGTGGCTGCATCAGTTGAGATGGCTCGAGACCAGACTCGAGATGAATTGCTGCAGAATCTTGCTGCTGTGGTTGAAAACAGGGATAAAACTCTAGTCGAGTTGATGAAGACACCTGTAATCATCAAGAACAGAGGATTCATTGATGATGGGAGCGATGGGAGCAGGGCTACGAGTACATCAACAAGAAGGATTTCATTGTTCTGCATTTCTCAAGCACTCATACAATCTCAAACTGGAAATCCCAGTTGAGATTGAGGGGGGATGTTGAATATATCATTCCAGCTCAACAATAGTTAGTTAGGTTGTTATCAAATTAGTTAGTTAAATAGCTTAGGCTGAACTCCGCCTATGTCTTACATGGCCGGTCCCAAGCCCGGATAAAGGAGGAGGGGGAGGGCGTCAGGTAGTCGACAGCCGGCACTCCATGATCACGTCGAATCCTTATGAAAATGAATCCAGAACAAAATCGCGCTAAAGCTAGGGCGTCATCCGTAAGTGGCGCGCTGTGTGGCCCGAGCACAGTGATAAGTGAGCAAGGGTCGCTGTATCTCCATCGGCACCCGGATGCAGTGTTAAATGAGCAAGGGGGCCATAGAAACTTCTTTTCGAACGACTCCACTCAAAGTTGTTTGGGAGCATATGCTCCTATCAACTTTACCCGGGACACACAAAAGAAGTACTTTGATCCTATTAGACGGGGGAGGGTGAAGAAGCTAGGACAGAAGGGTAGAGTTCAAGAGAGCAAAAATGCGTTTAGGAACGTGGAATATAGGAACCTTAACGGGAAAATCTATGGAAGTAGTGGAAGTTATGGTGAGGAGAAGGATAAATATTATGTGCCTACAAGAAACTAAGTGGGTTGGTAGTAAGGCAAAGGATCTAGAAAACTCAGGGTTTAAACTTTGGTATTCGGGCACAAATAGAACGAGAAACGGTGTTGGCATCATCGTGGACAAGACCTTGGTACAAGATGTTGTAGATGTCAAAAGGATTGTAATAGGACAAGAACTTATCAGATTAAGTGCGTACGCACCTCAAGTAGGGTTGGATACGAGTTCGAAGGAGAAATTTTGGGAAGATCTTGGAGACTTGGTGCAAGGAATTGCTCAGACGGAGAAGTTATTTATAGGAGGAGATTTAAATGGACACGTGGGCAGGGAGACAGGCAACTATGGAGGTTTTCATGGTGGCCATGGTTTTGGGGAGAGAAACGAGGATGGGGAAGCTATCTTGGATTTTGCAATGGCATATGATCTCTTCTTAGCCAACACCTTCTTTAAGAAGAGAGAAGAACATGTGATCACCTACAAGAGTGGGTCGTCAAAAACACAAATAGATTTTCTTCTAATGAGGAAAGGGGATCGTATAACTTGTAAGGATTGCAAAGTTATACCAGGAGAGAGCGTGGCTAATCAACATCGCTTGTTGGTGATGGATGTACATATCAAAAGAGTAAGACAAAAAGAACAAGACTTGGAAGTGCCCAAGGACTAGATGGTGGAATCTAAAGAAGAAAAAACAAGCCATTTTCAAAGAGAAGGTAATCACCCAATGTGTGTGGGATAGAGAGGGGGAAGCTAGCCAAATGTGGGATTCCATGGCTAGTTGTATCCGAAAAGTAGCAAAAGAGGTATTAGGAGAGTCCAAGGGCTTTGCCCCACACCAAAAGGAATCTTGGTGGTGGAATGAGGAGGTACAAACAAAGGTGAAGGCTAAGAAGGAATGTTGTAAAGCCTTATACAAGGAGAGGACCGATGAAAATGGTGAAAGGTATAGAAAAGCGAAGCAAGAGGCGAAGAAAGCTGTCAGAGAAGCTAAGTTAGCGGCTTACGACGATATGTATAAACGACTAGATACCAAAGAAGGAGAGTTGGATATCTATAAACTATCTAGAGCAAGGGAAAAGAAGACAAGGGACCTAAACCAAGTGAGGTGCATCAAGGATGAGGATGGAAAGGTTCTTGCTACAGAGAACGCGGTTAAAGACAGATGGAGAGGTTATTTTCATAATCTTTTCAATGAAGGACATGAAATGAGTGCTTCTTTAGGGGAGTTGAGTAACTCAGAAGAGTGTAGAAACTACTCTTTTTATCGTCGAATCCGGAAGGAAGAAGTGGTTGTAGCTTTGAAGAAGATGAAGCATAAAAAGCAATAGGCCCAGACGATATACCAATCGAAGTGTGGAAACTTTTGGGAGAGACAGGTATAACATGGCTCACTGACCTTTTCAATAGGATTTTGAAAACGAAGAAGATGCCAAATGAGTGGCGAACGAGCACTTTGGTGCCTATCTACAAGAATAAGGGCGACGTACAAAATTGCATGAACTATAGGGGTATTAAGCTAATGAGTCATACAATGAAGCTCTGGGAGAGAGTCATTGAGCATAGATTGAGGCAAGAGACACGGGTTTCGGACAACCAATTCGGGTTCATGCCAGGGCGCTCAACCATGGAGGCAATCTATCTCTTACGAAGATTGATGGAAAGATATAGAGATGGGAAAAAGGATTTACACATGGTCTTTATAGATTTGGAAAAAGCGTATGATAGGGTCCCAAGAGACATTCTTTGGAGGATTTTAGAGAAGAAAGGAGTACGAGTAGCATATATCCAAGCTATAAAGGATATGTATGAAGGAGCAAAGACTGCCGTAAGAACTCATGAAGGACAAACCGAAAGCTTTCCCATAACTGTAGGATTACATCAAGGCTCATCCTTAAGTCCTTACCTTTTTGCGTTGGTAATGGATGAGTTAACAGGACATATTCAAGATGATATTCCTTGGTGTATGCTTTTCGCAGACGATATAGTGTTGATAGATGAAACTCAGGAAGGGGTAAATGCAAAGCTTAACCTTTGGAGAGAAGTGTTGGAATCTAAAGGTCTTCGCCTAAGCCGATCAAAGACAGAATATATGGAGTGCAAGTTCAGTGCAAATGGAGGCCAAAACGAGTTAGGGGTGAGGATCGGAGATCAAGAAATACCAAAGAGCGACCGTTTTCGTTACCTAGGATCTATCTTGCAAAAGAACGGAGAATTAGATGGAGATCTCAACCATAGAATACAAGCTGGATGGATGAAGTGGAAGAGTGCATCCGGCGTGTTGTGTGACCGCCGTATGCCACTGAAGCTCAAGGGAAAATTTTATAGGACGGCAATAAGGCCGGCGATGCTGTATGGCACAGAATGTTGGGCGGTGAAACATCAACACGTACACAAAAATGGGTGTAGCGGAGATGAGGATGCTTCGTTGGATGTGTGGGCACACGAGAAAGGATAAGATTAGGAATGAGGATATCCGGGGTAAAGTAGGAGTAGCCGAAATTGAAGGAAAGATGAGAGAGAAAATCGGTTACGGTGGTTTGGACATGTGCAAAGAAGGCCTACTGAC